AGGAGCCACACATAACTGGCCTGTCAGAAAATATCCAAAATCTGTAAGGAAAACAATAAAAACTAGTGCTCTGTGCCTAGCATGCAATTAAAAAACAAACAACAAACAAACAAAACAACAACAACAAAAAAAAACAAAACAAAACAAAAAAAAAAAACACTAGACATGAATGATGGTGAAAAATGCAATCTATGATAACTCAGCCAATAGAAGCTGACCGGAAGTGATAGAAATAATCACATCAGTAGCAAAGACTTCAAAAAGCTACTCAAATTATTCTTTTTTTTTTTAATTCACTTTACATCCTTGTTCTAGCCCCATCCCTCCTCCATTCCCAAGCCCATCTTCCCTCTCTTCCTCCCTCTACCCTCCCCTTCCTCTCCAGCCCAGCTCACCAAGTTGCATCAGAACTGAGCATGTCCTCTTCCCCTGTGGGCTGTCAAGGCAGTCCTGCCAGGGGGAAGTGATCCGAAAGCTGGCACGTGAGTCCTTGTCTGATGCAGTCCCCACTTCCCTTACTAGAGGACCCACATAGGTCTAAGCTGCCATGTGCTACATCTTTGTAGGGGGCCTAGGTCCAGCTCCTGCATGGTCCTTGGTTGATGTTTCAGTCTCAGCAAGCCCCTCTGGGCCCTCAAATTATTCTTAAAGATTTAGAAGAAAACATAAACAAATGCCACAAGAGATGAAGGGTAGAAAGAATTTTTACCTGGAGTTTTTGATAGTTGAACACACCCACACACAAACACACACATACACAGTATGTTGATAGACTGAAAAGATGAATCACTGGCCAAAGAAAGCAATAGGAAACAGCAACAGAAACTATCCAAAAGCTAAGAAGGAATTACACTGACATTCAGTGACCCATGGAACAGTATTCAAGGATCAGTGAGGGGAAGGAAACTATTACAAGAAAGAGTGGATGCAATTTTTCCAAATTTGATGAGGGCTATAAATCCACAGTCCAGTAAATATCCAGACTGGTATGCACAAAGGAAACCACAGCAATGGATACTAGAAAACAAGGATTAATAGAAGAGGCAGGCAGAATCAGGAAAGCCATTTCATACATTAAAATGGTATTGCTCGTGAGACAACACATATAATTCCAGCAGAAGCAAGCACAAGGTGGAAGGAAATCAACTTTCACTTCTGTCTAGCACTGTGCTGACTGTCTTCTTTTAATTTAATTTACTTTTTTCTTATTAGTTACATTTTGTTAACTCTGTATCCCAGCTGTATCCCGCTCCCTCATTCCCTCCCAGTCCCACCCTCCCAATCTCCTTGTACTGACTGTCTTATCAAGCACACCCAGGATCAGCACTAGCAAAGGAAATGCTGGTATGTGACAGGCAAATAAACTGCCCTTGACTTTTCTCAAAAAGCATATGAAACTGAAGAAGATCTACAAAAGTACTATTAGAAATAAGTGACTTTAGAATCAAGTCAAATAGAAAATAGAAAACATTTAGTATGCCCAAACATGGGAATGTCAGTCAGCCATAAAAGAAATGAACTGCTGAAATAACATAACTAGAATCTCAAAAGCTCTGTGCTAATCTGGGGCTGTAGCTCAGGGCAGAGCAGCTCCCAGCGCATGCAAGGTCCTGAGTTCCATTCCAGCACTGGGGACAGGAGTCCCGAATGACAGAAGCCAGACACAATGGAAAATGACTATGTGATTCCATTGGCATGATGTGCCAGGATAACAAAAGCACGGATGGCTTCCATGGGCTGACAGTTGCAAACTTGAAGGATCTTGAAGGGAACTTTGAGAGTTACAAAAAAGTGTTGGGTCTCTTTTTATGGTGTATACTGGTAGACACAATTGTGGACTTGTGGAACTGTGTCTAAACGTGAGCATATATATCTTACCATTCATGTACAATCACTTCACGAGGTTGAACAACAGGGATGCAAGCTTTACCAATCCTCAGATACTGACAACAGCTTAGGAAAGAGCTGTTTCTTCCCCTCAGCTTTTCTTTTTGCACTCTGCCGGGGTAAACCAGGACATTACCGTGACCAAGAGATGATGGCAGTAGCAGGGCGAGATAGACAGGGAGGGAGTATGGGAGGGACGAAGAAATAGCCAGCTCAGCATCTCTTCCTTTAGGGATCGCTCCTCTCCGTTGCCCTCAGCTGAATCCCACGAAGACTCCTTTCTGGAGAGCAGACAGATATAGCCTAGTACTCAGCAACAGCCACTGTGGCCCTCCACTAGCTCAGTAACTCACTTAAATATTACATGGGATTCTTTTCTAAGATATCCATAGCTGTTTCAGAAATGTTATATTTATCTCTGGTGCTAGAATGTGTGCTTGTACCCTGGAACAAGATTCTTGTCTAGATAGAATAATTTGGGGTAAATGGTAAAAATGACTTTTTTCTAGTCTTGACTGAGTCTAGAAGTTCCAAATGAGCCTGAATAAGTCTCATGACCTTTCAGAATGATTTCTACTTCCTAACTTTCAAATTCCAATTTGTAAGGCCCTCCCAGTAATAATTCCTATTTTTGATAGCCATTTTAGTGTCTGTTGCTAATGAAACAACAGTGTTATTTGAACTTGTTTCATTGTGGGTGTGTACAGGAGGGCTGTAACAGAGCTGTGTTCTAGCTCATGGTACGGTGGTACCAACCCTCCTTTTATGAACCCGGGAGTTTTTAGACCACCACACTGCCCTCAGTGGTAAAACACTTTCACCCAGGAAGTGAAAAGATTTCCGATGTTCAGTTTGCATCCCAAACCAGGTCAGTCAGACTTTTTTCTCACCCAGGTATCCATAACTTTCACAGCCATTGAATCATGTACTTTTTTGTGCCTTACATATCCATCTCCTTTCATTGTGCCTCCCTGTCACAGGCTGAGCTCCGTGGAACTTGTTCCCTAGCCTTGAATTGGTGCACAGGTTTTCATAGAAGGCATTGTTGCTTTTCACATTTCCTTGACCTACGTGTAGTCCTGACCACACCTGCCACAGCCTCTGCAGCACAACCAGGCTGAGCCTCAGCCTGACCCCAGCCAGTGGGTCACTCCCTAATTTAACCACTTAGAGAAGAATGCTGGATTTTTCACTGCTCTCTGTTATCAGCCTAAATTCATCTATTCAAAAGATGTTATTGGATCCTCTTCCTAGAGCACAAATTAGCAAGCAGGAGGCAAGATCATTTCAGGAGGTGGAAAGAGCAGGTACAAGGTCACTCACTGAGTCAGAAAGGAGCTCAGAGTCAGGAAGACCAAAGGATGTTGGTGTGGCCATAGCCAGTGTAGGAGGCATACCTAAGAACAGGCTGGACACTCAGGTATAGAGAGCAGAGGAGGTGCATGTCTGCTAGGTACTGACTGATTTTAGAAGCATAATGAAAGGACATTAGCAAAGCTGTGTGAACATGACTGTGGCTCATAGAAGTCACCAAGAGTGGTAAACTGGTTTTTGGCTCTCACCCAGACACAACCACAAGCCCCACCCCAGGTTTCTGCTCTCTGATAACAATAGCTGATACGTACTCAGAGCTAGGTTTGTACCAGACACTATCCTAAGCATTTTTTTTTTCTTAATTGTCTCACTAAATCCCCACAACCAGCAAAAGTACTGTCCTGTTACCCCACTTCCTTATTAACAGTCATGGAAACTTACTAGCATTCCATAGCCACAATCTTTTTGGCCAGTAATCACCAGGAAGAATCACTTTGCATGTGACCCAGCTCACTCTTTATTCAGCTAATGACAATCACAATGAGGCTTTCAACAAGCTCTGCCGTGGTCTAACTGCACTTCCCTCAGTGTGAAGATATAATGGGGCAGACGACAACAGTGCCCCCTATACTGTGAGGTGATACCTTGTAGTGCAGAAGGCTCTAGAAAACAATACCAACAACTTAAAGTAACTCCGGTGTTTCCGGGGTACTTGGGGCTAGGCTACTGAGTAGAAGGCATTTGCTGCTGCTGAGGCTGATCAAGGGTGTTCACTGCATGAACATATGAAAGCCTGGCATTGTCCTGCCCCAAGGATGCAAGTGTTGACCAGTATCTTATGAAGACTAGCTGCAAATTTGCATGTTCTTTGCTACATGAGATGAAAAACCAGTGAGCTCTGGAAACCATGTGGAAATTATTGGCTTAGATACACATGCACACTTTGTCAAATCCAGTGAAATTAGTAAATTGCCAAAAGCCCGGGTCTCGATATCCTTCTCACCGTCAGTACTGTGTACCATGTGGTAAGAAGCTATAATTCCACGATATTGAGCCAGGAAGCCAAATACACCAGAGAGTACAGATTAACTTCTTTATATATTTTTTTACTTTATTTTTTTTGTTTTATTAGTGTGAAGGTGTCAGATTCCTTGGAATGGGCATTATAGACAGTTGTGAGCTGCCATGTGGGTGCTGGGAATTGAACCCAGGTCCTTTGGAAGAGCAGAGAGTGCTCTTAACCACTGAGCCATCTCTCCAGCCCCAGATTAACTTCTTAAAGACATTCTGAAAAATTCCTGGCAAGCCAATAGTTGTTGAGTATTCATGAGAGCCTGAGAGTAGCCCTGCCAAAGAGAGAAGATCCCACAGCGTCAGAGTGAAATGGAGATAGAGAAAGTCAAAGTGGCTTGCCCAAGTCTCTAGTGGGCCAGGAAGGATGGAGAGTTGATTGATCCTTGGCTTCCAGTGCTCATGCTCTTGGCTCCTCTCTGTAAAGTCATGTCCATGAGAGTGTGCACCGTGTGTGTGTGTGTGTGGCAGTAACCAGAGAGTAGAAAAGATTCTACCTTTCCTATAGGCACAGAAAACTGATGTTCAGCTGTCAGTTGCCTGCTAAAACTCAGCTGTTCTTGGAGGAAGCAATACTGAATAAAGTCCTTACTCTCCTCTCTTTCTTACCAAAATAAAGATTCAGCTGTGGGTTTTCTTTGTGGCCACTTCCGAAGACTGCAGGGCATTCAGTCTCACTGATGGCAGACAGGCAAAGCTAATGGAGGCTGATTTCTTTTGTGCAACAGCTGCAGAACCAAGAGATTCTGAGGGCGATGATGAAGAAGGCTGAGCTAGAGATCAGTAGCAAAGTGAGAGAGTCAATGAAGAGACTGGAGGATCCGGTGCAACGCCAGCGCACCCTGGTGGAGCAAGAGAGACAGAAGTACCTTCAGGAAGAAGAGACTATCGTCAAAAAGTTACAGTGAGTGGCCAGTCGCCCAAGGAAAAAAACTGTCCTGTTTACAGGCTTCTTTTCTTAGTTGGTATTTTTCTTTCTCTTTATTGAGCGCCTACTGTGTGCACCACAGATCTGCTGACCCTGGACCAAGAAAGCGTGGGACATCCTTAGAGAATCATGGGGGTGGGGACTGACAGGAGAATTGGGCACACGGTACGAATGACGTCACATGTTTGAACTGTGTCATTCTTATGTACGTACTGCCTTCCATAGACCATACTCTTGCTCTGGAGACTTACTTGATTCTCTCTGGGCTGTGCTTGCCAAGACTGGGAAATAACAGGAACCCACGGTAGGGTAAGAGAACCAACTCCAGAAAGTTGTCCTCTGGCCTCCTCGTGTGTGGCCTTGTACGTACAGTCACCCCTCATACACACAGCACTAATATAAAATTTACTAAATACGTCCTTTTAATATTACCATAAATGTTCCTTATACCTTAAATAGCCATAGATGAGGATAACTGGGTGGGTCTGTCTGGCAGGAGAGCAGGTTAGGTAAGATGAGTGGAAACTGAGTTGGAACTACAGAGAAAGCCATTGCTGCTCTTCCCTGGCCCTTCCCTCCCTGTTTCCCTTTCATTCTAAGCTCCGAAAAGAAATGTTCTCATAGAGCCTGCTAGGCTTAGGTCCTACAAACATGAGGACAGAGGGGGGAAATTGGGGTTTAAAAGAAAAGAGAAAAATTGAGTCTAGGTCTTTCATGGTTTTCTCCATGGAAATAGTGGGCTTCTAGTAAGAGTCTGGTTAAGTTCATTTTAAACAAACAATATGCTTCTTTTTAACAAAGGCAGAATAAGAAGCAACCTAGGTCAATGCTACAAACTGTAGCACCATGAATGTCTGATGTCTTGTAGAGCAATTCAAAAGCCCATTGGTAACTTTGAAAAGATGGTCTACATTTACTCTTAGCTGCATTGTCTCTTTTACAATCTTTCATTAATCATTAACTCAATGAAAGTGACCTTCAGTGCTTTAAATAGGAATCAAAAGAACTGGCAGAACAATGGTGTCCAAGGTTCCCTGCTGCCCAGCAAGGGAAGTGGGGTTCGGGGATCTTCTGGTTGCAGGGCTCTGACATACAAGAGGCAGACTATGTAAGAGAAACCAAAGGAGGATTTTGTTCAGAAGGAGTGGCTCCCTGGAGGAGTATTGGCATACTGACCTGCATGTGGGTGGCTGATGGACCTGAGCTAACACTTGCAGTATCAGCGTGGAAGGGCTTCATCAAAGCCAGAAGCACCATAGAGTCAACAGATGCAGGAGACTGTGCTTGGTCTAGCTGGAAATCCCTCACGAGGGGATGATTCTAGAGGTCTCACAGGGGCTGGCCCAGTTCCCATCTCAAGGAGCAGCCACTGTCTGTATCCTGTAGATATGCTCACATAACAGTAGCTGTGAGTCACAAATGCAGAAACGGGAGCTACAGTGTCCCCCTTTGGCCCCAGGGGGTCATCAGTGTATCTGAGAATTCTAGATCAGAATGGCTGATGTCACCAGATACTTTATCTCCCTGCTCACAAGAGGTCAAATGTGCCATGTATGGCTTCAGCCTTCTTGAATGCCCTATCCTGCTCAACTCCCTCCAGAAGCTACCTTAGCCCCTCCACTAGCTTACTTAGAGGAAAGGGCTATGTCACCTCCTCAGTGGCCATCCTCTGTTTGCACCAGTAAGTATAGTCGCCAGTCACTTGCTGCCACCTAGTGGTCCTCGTTTCTCAGCACTCTCTCCTCATGAATCTTCAAGATGCTTTCTCTTGAATTTGCCGGCAAATTGACTACTAACACGTATGGGTTAGTAAAGAGGCCTGGACAGACTGTTTTTGTTATTTCAAGTAGAAAAATGTAACTTAGCTCTGTTGTAGTTTTTATCTGGACATACATACATACACACACACACACTTGCATGCGCATATTCACCAGAAATAAGATCTCTAAGTGCTTAGCCATGAAAAGAGAGGTAATCATTGTTGACCAAGAATCATAGACTAGAGTTTATCCATTAGGGAACTTTGAAGGCAGTTTTGTTCTTTCTTTCCGAGGGACACTTGACAATGTCAAGGGACATCTCAGATGTGCCACAAATTACTGGAGTTCCTTACTATTGGTACTCAACAGGTAGAGGCAGCTAAACATCCTTCAGTATACTAGACAGCCTTGCATTAAAGAAAGAGAGAGAGAGAGAGAGAGAGAGAGAAAGAAAGAAAGAAAGAAAGAAAGAAAGAAAGAAAGAAAGAAAGAAAGAAGAAAGAAGGAAGGAAGGAAAGAAGGAAGGAAGGAAGAAGAAAGAAGGAAAGAAAAGAGAGAAAGAAAGAAAGAAAAGAAAATGTCCGGTACCAACTTCGAGAAACCTGGTTGTCTGATCTTATTCCACTGTAGCACTGGCTCACACAGACACACTCACACACTCACACATGTTCTGCCTCCATCTCTAGTCTATCACTCCCATCTGTCTTTCTCTCACTCCCTTCTTGGTAATCAAATATATACAGTGCTCCCTTGGCTGGTGTAAATACCAATGAAAATTAAGAATGTCTAGAGCAAGCCACAAGTCCTTCCTTACCCCCCGGCCTCTGACCAACCTGGGCCTCGAACGATGGGCACAGGAGAACTCTCCTGCAGCTGCCTTACACCTCCATGCTCCAAGGCAAACAACCACCTGATGCACTCCTTGGAAGCCTAAGGTGGGGCTGGGTCATAGCCAAAAATGGGGAGCAGCCTGTTCCTGCACCTGTCCTTTGTGAAAGCCTCCATGCTCAGTTCCATCTGCTATCTGCCTCCCCAACAGTGAACTGGAGGACTTTGTTGAGGACTTGAAGAAGGACTCTTCCTCTGCTGGCCGCGTGGTGACTCTGAAAGATGTAGAGGACGGGGCTTTCCTCCTTCGACAAGTGGGAGAAGCTGTAGCCACTCTCAAAGGTGAGTCTTCCGCTGGAAGGGAGAAGTTGGAAGTATGTTGATTGGGATGTTTAAGATTCTTTCAAATCCCAGCTACTCTGGAGGCTGAGGCAGGAGGATCCCTTGAACTCAGTTAAGACGAGCTTAGGGAAACAGTGAGGCCTTGTTTCAAATAAACACATAAATAAATTAACAACCCTTCAAATAGTGAAAGATTTCTCAGAGGACCCTTACAGATGGTGGTGAAGATGTAAATTTATTGATATAACTAAACATTTCTATTTTTTTTTTTTACTGAGCCTTACAAACATAACAAACTCCTTGAAAATAACGCTAGCTTTTAGTTAGCTTTATCCATAATACACAGGGAATGGACCTAGAGGGACTGTGACCTTGTCTGATTCACTTGGTCTGACCATCTTTTGTGCTTTAATCCACGGCCTCCCCACACGTGTATGCTACTCTGGTTCACAGGAGTGGGGTAGGCATTATTCCAGCTTCCCATTCCATAACTCACAGCTGGTTTGGCCTGTAGGAGAATTTCCAACCCTGCAAAATAAGATGCGTGCTGTTCTACGCATAGAAGTTGAGGCAGTGAGGTTCCTGAAGGAAGAGCCACACAAGCTGGACAGTCTCCTGAAGCGTGTGCGGAGCATAACGGATGTCCTGACATTGTTGCGGAGGTGACTGTCGTGGTCCTGATGGAGTGGATGAGGGGTGGAAGTGGGGGCCTCAAATGTTGGGATGCAGGTCATGGGCGCCAAGGGCCTGCTTTTAGTATCATTGTGACTTATTACTTCCTATTATGGCATCCTGAAGAGTACTCTCCACATTTAACGCTGCTGTGCATGGTTTCTCCTAGGCATGTCACTGATGGGCTCCTGAAAGGCTCAGATGCAGCCCAGGCCGCACAGTATGTGGCCATGGAGAAAGCCATGGCTGCAGAGGTCCTGAAGCATCAGGAAGAGACAGCCCACTCAACTGGGCAGCCCCTCCACAGTAGCACTGGAAGCCCTGGTGATGTGAAGTCAGAAGTGGTGCCCCTCTCCACCATGCTGGTTCACCATGTCCAGAGCCCACCTGTCCTCATGCAGCCCTCCCAGCACTCCTCAGCCTTGCTGAACCCAGCCCAAAACTTGCCCGGAGGGAGCAGTCCCCACACGGTCAGCTCTCCAGCAGGCACACAGGACGTCACCTCTGCACCTCCCTCGGCTGTGGTCCCCCAGTCCTCCCCCACCACAGTGAATGGCTCTTCCATGCAGAGCTTGTTCATTGAGGAGATCCACAGTGTGAGTGCCAAGAACAGGGCAGTGTCCATTGAGGTAGAGTATTTCCATTTCTCACAGCCCATAAACATAGCCCTTTCCTATAGGGCATTTATATTCAGATTGTTGTATATTTAAATATATTTAAATGTATGAATTTCTAGTGTGTGTGTATTTGTGTGTTTGTGTGTGTGTGAATAGTACTATGTATTCATATGAATATAATATGAATCAAAGATACAGTTTGACTGGAGATAGCATTTGTATAGATATTTAGGGGGTTGTTGTTTTTAGATTTTTCTAGAAACAGAGTAAAGGGTTGAGGGAGAGGTCATCAGGTGTGAGATGACCCTGGTCTGGAGGAGGGTGGGTCTGTGGTATGTTGGTGAGTGTTGAACAGCTGTCATGGAGAAAGCCAGATAGGAAGCATCTTCCAGAACCCACAGGGCAGATCTGGGATCTGGTGCGCTCATCTGAGGCAGTGAGTTTTCCAAGCGAGTGCACATTGAGCCACCGTGCTGAGGCAAGCTTGGAGAGGGTTTGCCTCTGATCCTGGGAGTCATGAGAATCGGGGCAAGCAAAGAATGTGCTATCTTAGTCTGCTTTCTGCGGCTGTGATAAGCACCATGAACTTGGAGAGGGAAGGCTTTATTCGGTTTACACATCTGGGTCACAGGCCACTGAGGGAAGCCAAGCCAAGAACTGATGCAGAGGCCATGGAGGAGTGTTGCTGACTGGCTTGTTCCACATGGTTTGCTCAAGCTGCTTTCTTTAATACCCCAGGACCACCATCCCAAGGATGGCACAGCACCCAGTGGGCCAGGCCTTCCCACAAGAAAATGCCCTGCAGATTTGCCTACAGGCAATCTGATGGAGAAATTTTCTCAATTGAGAGTTTTCTTTCCAGATAACTCTAGCTTGTGTCAAGTTGACAAAAAACTAAGCATGACAAGTGTTAAGGAGGGAGTTCTGGCGAACGGTGCTGGAGAAGGGATGTGAGTGAGCAGGGTAGCTGAAAACAGAATAAAGACTGGGAAACGGGTTGCATGGTGATCTGGGAGCATGTAAAAACCAGTACAAGGTCCCCGGGAAGTGTTCTAGAGACAGTCAAGAACACAGAAAGTCTGAGCAGTGAGTTTTCAATGTGGTATCTTCAGAAAATGATCCAGAGACAGTCCACGGAGTCTCCTGAGACAGTGGTGTGGGATGGAAGGAGCTGTGTGGGAGGCTGCTGCAGTAGTCTAAGAATGAAGGTGGAACTGTGGGCATGGTAGGGAACCTGTAACTGCAGTAGTCCGAGGCAGCCTGGCTCACACAGTAAGATCTGGGTGAGAGTGCAACAAGGTATTTGCCCAGAACATTCTGCTTCCTGAGTTTCCCATCCCTGAAAAAACAAATTAAATGACATAACAAACAAACAAACAAACAAAAAAGCATAATGTTTTAAATATTTTTTTGCTTTACCAGCTCTCTTTCCCCTCATCCACAGCCTTTCCTCCACTCTATTCCTAGCAGCCTGGTCATACTTACCCTCACCTGTCTTATGTGAATAATTGACTGTGTTTGGATGACCCTAAACTGCCATGGCTACAGTCATGAGGCCACTAGATATGGGGTAGTTTCCAAGCCACATGCTCTGTCTGTGTCCTGATCCATGTCACCTATCCAAAAATTGCTTATTGAGAAAGGAATCGAAGGTGATTGGTGGAGCATGACTCCTATCCCCAGCACTGGGATAGGAGTCGGGGTGGGTGACATTGGGGGATTGCATTTCTTTCCTTAAAGAATGTTAGTGTGACAACATTTTTATTTTATAAATGTCCAAGAACCTTCTGGGCATAATTATCAATAAGATGTGTATATTTCCAGTTGTGAAAGGACACTTAGGAGTTGTCTCTGAAAATGCCTAGGGCCCTCCTGATACCTGGGCCATTGACAAATCAGGCACAATTTATTCATTCACTGGTCCCCCATTATCCCTCATTGGCTCTGGGTAGACAGTGGGCAAGGCTCACCTGTTTATGGCTCAAGTACGTGCCAGGAGGTCAGTGCTAAAGAGGAAAACACAGGCTTATGTTTTTATGATGAGACCCTGAGCAAATGCCCCATGTAATCGGCTATGACATTGTACTTTAGTAGCCTTATTTAGTAGTCTTTTTAAACCTATTTATTTTTATTAATTACAGTTTATTCACTTTGTATCCCAGCTATAGCCCTCCTCCATCCCCTCCCAATCCCATCTTTCCTCCCTCATCTCTTCCCATGCCCCTCCCCCAGTCCACTGATAGGGGAGGTCCTCCTCCCTTTCCCTCTAACCCTAGCCTATCAGGTCTCATTATCTTCCTCTGTGGCCTGGCAAAGCTGCACCTCCATCATGGGAAGGTGATCAGAGAGCCAGCTACTGGGTTCATGTCAGAGACAGTCCCTGTTCCCCTTACTTGGGGGACCCCCTTGGAGACTGAACTGTATTTAGTAGTCTTACATCATGAGCATACACCAATCATGGAGTGAAGTTCCACTCAGCTTTCTGTAACAATCCCAAGATAATGTGCTTTTAGTTATGTAAAGGTGTTTTTAAATGCTTGAATGCATCTTTATCATGAAACTTGATCACAATGTAGGTGACCTAAACAATAACCCCTTCCACTTTATAAGAAAGGATAACCCAGATGTATATACTAAGTCTTGAGCAGAATTAGAATTGAGGCAAAGGATTTTTCTCTATTTAATTTATTTTGCAAAAGATGTATAAAAAACACAAAATCGTACATATTGATAGAGTACCAAATGATATTTCTGTACATGAGTACATTATAAAATCAAGACATTGGCCTTTATTGTGGTTCTTACTTAGTGTTTGGGTTTCTGTTTGTCTAAACATTTCTTTTGAAAAGAAAGCTGAATTTAGTAAACAAAAGTTGTAAGTAATAAATGCTTTTGAGAGGTGGGTGGCGCATGCCTTTGATCCCAGCACTTGGGAGGCAGAGGCAAGTACATCTCTGTGAATTTGAGGTCAGCCTGGTCTACAGAGTGAGTTCCAGGACAGCCCGTGCTACACAGAGAAACCCTGTCTCACATAACCAAAAGATAAATAAATAAAAGATTAACACCTTTGAAAGCAACATCCATAGCCATTTTAATTTAGCATCAGCAGGGTATGTGAAAAGTGCTGAGTGGCCATCAAGGGGTAGGTTCCGGAATCTTAGATAGCTTTTCTGTGGATCAGTGTCACCTGGGTGAAGCAGCAGCTTCATGGGTCTGGGCAGTTGAGCAGAAATGAGATGACAGGCAGCCTCAGGTGGACAGGGGCATTGTCCCATCAATACTTTGTGTACACCCTTCAGCACTTGGGAATGAAAGCTCTAACCTAAATTTTCTCTCTGTTTTTAAACTTTCTGAAATTGTTCTTTTCCTTCAGAAAGCAGAAAGGAAATGGGAAGAAAAAAGGCAAAATCTGGAGCACTATAACGGGAAAGAATTTGAGAAGCTGCTGGAAGAGGCTCAGGCCAACATCATGAAGTCAATTCCAAACCTGGAGATGCCGCCAGCCTCTGGCGCAGTGCCGAAGGGAGAGGCTACAGTGGACAAGCTGGAGCTGTCAGGTGAGGGCCAGCCCGCAGCGGGCCTCACAGAGATGTGCAGGTCAGCGTGTGTCACACAAGCTCCTATGGGACAGCAGAGCCCTATCTCACTTTCTGAAGAATCAGCAGACAAAGCCACATGCCACCAAGCCTAACAACCAGAGTTCATCCCAGAACTGATGTAGTGAAAGGAGAAAGTAACTCCTGCATGTATGTAGCCTGTATGTGCAGGCCATGTCTCTCTCTTCTCTCCCTCCCACTCTCTGTCTCTGTTTCCCTCTCCCTGTCCCTTTCTCTGTCTCTGTCTCTGTGTGTGTGTGTTTCTCTCTCACACACACATTCACAGAACAATCTCTTAATAAAATAAACTTCCTGAAGAGGTCAAGACACTGGAGGGGTCATTATTCTCCACAAGCTGGCTTTCCCCTGTCCCTGAAGAGAATTTCTGACCCACCTCATTACATTTCTAACCTTGTATAACTGCCCTTTCTCTTATTAATCTTTTCATAGTGTGTTGGTATTTCATAAAATTTTCATAATTGTTCCTCATTTATGTAACGCAAATATAACACACATTTTGTAAAGATGCCTCATTTTCACTTTTTAACCTTCAAATTAAAAACTTACCAAAAAAAAAAACAAAAAAAAACAAAAAAAAACAAAAAAACTTCCTGCATAAATTACTCAGTCAGCAGCATGAACATTTTGTTGTTGTTTGTTTTTTGGTTTTTTTTTTTTTTTTTATTCAGTACATTGCTTTTTTTTTTCTTTTTAAAAAATGCATTCTTAGAAACAGTTTATTGATACACAGGCCTCCCAGAATGCGGAGTAGTCACCTGTAGCTGTTAATGCTAGTTTTTAGCAGTGTGTGTGTGTGTGTGTGTGTGTGTGTGTGTGTGTGTGTGTGTGGCAAATGCCATTGTTTTTATGCATTTTTACTAGTAATGCAAAAGTCTACATACACAGTCATAAAACACCTTCATGGGTATATTGTTAAACTACATAGATAATGGGAAAGATGGGTAGATGCGAAATACTTGATAGAAATTTTTTGTCACTGTTAAATAAAAAGCATTCAGTAGGTATTTCTTTAAAATAGCAAGGAAAGATTCATTCACGAGTATTACAATAAATGAGAGAGAAGTTTCAGGGGTAGAGAGATCCTTGCTAAGCTGACAGCAAGATTGCTAAAACTAGGCTCAGTGACTAGGTCAGGGTCCAGTCAAGGAGGAGACTAAAGAGGGCCTTACTGAAGCTTGGTCAAGGAAGAGATCTGCCCTCTCAGAGTAACAAGAAGACAGGCCTGTCCTAGGCTGGTCAGCTAGAGGACAGGCCTCTGCTGTCATCCTTGGCAGTCCATCTATCCCTAGATGGATGCTCAAAGCCAAGGCAGCCCTCCCATTGGGTAGGGACCACCTGCCTTTTGGACAGCCTTGAAGCCACACCCTTTTTGGAAGACACACTTGCTTTTCACCCCAGTGACTTACCCAGGTCTTCATTACAACATGAAGTAGAAACTGAAGAATCCCCTCAAAACAAGTCTTAGTTTCCCAGAAAAGCAATACACCCTGGAATATACCCTGGAAATCCAGGCCAAGTCCCTAGAGAGAAGCAAGAGAAAACTCTGGACCGTGGGTGTGGCTTTGTGTTTGGCGAGCCTGTGGGTCTATGGAAGAAGAAGGGCAGAAGCCAGGCTGGTAGGTTCCTACACATGAGGTGGAGCCAGGAGAGACCCATATCCCTTAACTTTGCAGTTAAGTCTAATTTATAATTCTCTCTTATTGCCACCAAGACATCTTTCCTAGCCCCCCACAGTGGTCCTTCTCCCCAGAGTTCCACTTCTTCTGTCTTTGTTCTTTGTCTCTGCATTCTCTCTACCCCTTCCCTTTTTAACTAGAGTCTGTCCCGATAGCTACAGAAATTCATACTCTTAATACTCTTTCAGGTTGGAACTGGAGGCTTCAGAAACCTTGGTTTGGGGCTTACCTATACTCCCCCAATTTTTTCAGTTTTCCAGTGCCCCTCAGTTTTTGTATGTATCAAGAAATTCATTCAATAATAAATCTAATAGTTTGCATTGCAATCACAATAAGCCAATGGTTGTATATAAGTCATTTGATCCCCAGAACTAAAATGGAAAGTCTGTTGTTGTACTATGTTGTATGTAGTATGAAAGATATGAGAAAACTAAGTCAGCAAGAAGGTAGGTGGCATATGCGGGAGCTTTCTGGGAGTTAAGTTCAGTTTGTCTTCAGTCTGCCTCCTTAATCAGTGGTCTATGGCAAGAACGGAGAGTCCGTAAGTCAAGCTGTATTGCATTTGTATATACCAGATGTATCTTGAAATGATGGTCTTTCAAATGACATCCTCTTTTTCCAGAAGATTCTCCAAATTCAGAGCAGGAATTGGACAAGCTAGGGGGAAAGTCACCCCCTCCTCCACCTCCACCTCCTCGGAGAAGCTACCTTCCTGGGTCAGGACTTACCACCACGAGGTCTGGCGATGTGGTCTACACTGGCAGAAAGGAGAGCATGTCTAAGGTTTGATGGGTTGAGTCCTAGCAACCTGGTTTCTAGGTGAAGACAGTTCTGTCTAAACATTAAGAAAAGAAAATTAAAAAGTAATGATTCAACTCACCTAGATCCCCAGAAAGTGCCTGAGATGGAGACTGTTGCCCAGCATAACTGGACTAGCCTGGGCACCATGCACCCATGCACCCTTAATGTACATTTCTTTAAATGTAGCCTTATGTCACTTTCAATATGACACTATGAAATGAAGATCACCAGCTACTTCCCCTACTGGGGCATCATTAGACTGAAATGGGAGTAGAAAGAAAGATAATCTTACCTGGGTAACAGATAGCAGACACAGCTGTGGGCACTTGTCTAAAAGGTGTGAAGTTAGCTTAGCTTACACGTAACTTGGAAGGTCTTAACCATTGTGTGAAATGAAACACTACAATTTCCAAGTGGAAATGTAGGCTACAGAGGGCCTTCTGTAAGTGTGGGGGATTTATAATTATATAGTTCTTCAGACCATTCACCAGTGTGACAACCTATGCAAACAAGCCCAAACTACAAAGAAATAAAACAGCTTTTTTGGCTAGAAGAGCCAGAACCAACGAGGCATTGAAAAGCCATGGGGTCTGATGCCAATATCTATGGGTTGAACCCACTGTAGGTGAGCAGTGAAGACCCTGGACCAACCCCACAGACTAGAGCCACAAAATGTCCCCCAGAAGAGCCTGCCTCATCCTGGACCCCATCTCCACCACCAGTCCCTGCCTCTTCCTCCAAGGATGAGGAGGAAGAAGAAGAAGGAGACAAAATCATGGCCGAACTTCAGGTATGTAGCTGAGATCACTCCTAACCAGTGGCTCCTTTCCTTATCATCTGGTCCTCTCAGGATACGGATCCCACTGGTGGTGAAGGGCACTGGAGCTAGCATTCTTCTAATCCTAATCTCCAGTTTTTCCAAGATGAGAGCCAGCCAGCTCTCTGAGTACCTGAAAGGTGTATGAATAGTGACCATTTTTGAAACAATTTTGTAAAGTTTACACAGATAAATCAGTTAAGGCCTCCATTTTCCTTGGCCTATTAGAAAATATTTTATTAGTTTGTTTTTATTTTTGTTTTTGTTTTTAATTTAATGACCCAGCTCTGCAGGGACTGAGTATGGACCACAGGGCATATACCCAGCCTCACCCCACACTGCTCTCACGAATGTGACTCTGCCCTACAATCGTGACCTGAGAACATACATATATAATTCCTAGACCAAACTCTGGATTTTTTTGAGGGACATCTTTGCTTCTAAGACAGAGTACAAACTTTCTAGGACTCCAAAACATGCTGTCTTTTAATGACTGCTGGTGTGGTTTGGTACAGCCCAGGAAATCTAATTCTTTATGTGAAATGGAGAAAACTTTAAACCATGTCAATTTTTTTATACTGAGTCTACTCCGGTTTTCATTGTATCCATGGTAATAGTTGCCAAAATTGAGGAAAATGGGACTGCTGAGTGTGTTCCATTGGGTAGTAAACCATTTGAATACTTACCCAAGCTCCCAGATTGTCCCGGATCAAGCCCTCCACTACACAGACTTCACAGGTTCTTAAACTGGCCAGAATTTATTGATAGAAAACAGATTTATAGTTAGTAACCACTAGACTTCTGAAATCTTAGCACTCTAATAGAAACTATGTATTTGTCATAGACACTTCTAGCTACCATTTGACATGGCCTCTCTCACATGCAGAATCTTATGTCCCCAATGTTTTCTGTGATGATCCCTTTCCTGGGAGTGGAGTGTCTGCTATCTGGCTTCTTGCTTTGTGGTTAGTAGCCTTTTATAACAGTGACTAAGATTTTCTAGCTCTGTTGACACTACTGTTCTAGGAAAGAGCACTTTGTAGATCCAGCTAGTTTGCTTATGTATGCTCTGGAGCCAGACTTTAGGCAAAACAAGGAAGCTCTGCAATCCCCTCTTAGGGTAGTTTTCATGAAACGGTGTCTCTTGTTCAAGTGACCAAGCATCAGAAGAAAATCCAGGCTGGGGTATCTAACATTTAACAACAGCTAAAGGACCTGGCAGTTGCTCTCAGTGGCCAGGCCTGTAAGTAAGCCAAACATGTCTCAGAGAAGCCAGGCTTGACTTTTGAAGGCATCCATAGCATGGATGGCAAAGATGACCAAAACAGAGAGACAGGCATTGAGGCAGAGGAGGGTCCCTGTTGTCAGCTATGTTCAGATGCTAAGACAGATGCTGCGATGTCCACTTGGCAAAGTCACAAAATTCTTCCTGCCCACCAAGTTGCTTCCAGATGTCACCATTTGACATAAAGAGAATATTAGGCAATTATTTAATATTATTCATTTCAAGAAGTGCTTTTTAATACTAACTGCACATTGAATTACTGGAGCATTTGTGTAGGGAAATGCCCACACAAATAAGCCCAGAGGTTCTTATGTACCAGTACTCTTGAGGGCAGCTTGGAAGCACAGGGGATTGATTGTGTTGGCTGCTGGTGCTTAGCCTTGAGGATGGGTTGTGCCCAAAAGCACTGGAGTTATCACCTGTCCTCCATGAGCACAGTGTCAGGAGAGTCTTCTGATATCCCCAACACTGCCCGCTGGTAGACAGAAGCTGGACTATTTCTCTTCATCTAAGAACTAGTCTCCCTGACCCTGTTCACATGAGCCCGCTGCTGGCCCCACAGTTATGTCTTTGGCCAGCTCCTTGGCCATTCAGAACTGTGTGGTGCTAAGGAGCATTAATTTCTTGTGAATGGGCAATAAAGCAGGGTGATATCTGTGACTATTTCAGAGAATGAACAGGTGTGCATTATTTCTTTTTAAGTTTAAAATGTCTTGTGAGTTTCCTTTCTATATATAATTTCAATAAAGATGATAAGAAATGAATAACATAGAGATGTCTTTTCATCTTAATTTTTTTATATATTTTCCAACATGAAAAAGTCAAAAGATTGAGCCTAGAGTTATATGCCTGCTCAGCTTGTGCCTGTCACAGAGCCACATGTCCAGCCCAAGGGTCTTTAATACTTTTTAAGGGCTCTGTCCATTTCATCTTTATAAGAAAGTTTTTGCTTAGAGCTCAGCCCAGGGTCAGCCTGAGACCCTACAGGATACAGAATTTCAGGATGCTGCCTCCTAGCAGGAGCCTGCATGCAGGTCCAGGGCTGGGGAACCCATGTCTCTGGATTCCTGACTCTTTTCTGCTCCATACAGCTGAATCCCTGTTAACCTCAGTATTTTAATTCTTTAGGCATTCCAGAAGTATTCCCCTATGGATGTAAATCCATACAGTCATGCTGAGCAGTCCCGAGCTGACAGCCACCTTAAAGACACTAGGCCAGGCGCCACAGTCCCACTCAAGGAGAAGAAGGTAACGTGGTAGCTATGCATTTACCACACAGTCAGAAAGCCTGCCCCTGCTCTGCTACTAACTCGGTACTCTTGCACCTGACCTCTTGCGCTTAGCCTTTTTGTTTTACTCTCTTCCCTTTTGTCTTTAAACTAACAGAAATGCAGGTTTAGAGTGAGATTAGAAGTAGCTGTCTCGGGTTTCCAAAGTGAGCACTGCACCCTGTGAGCGGCACACAGTCACACAGTAGCACGTGCAGAAGCAAGATGGTAGCTTCCCAAAATAAAGAGCGTATGCCTTCAAGAGTTTCTAGACCAAATCATTAAAAAACAAACAAACAGAAACAATAACGAAGTAAATACAAGCTTTTCTTATTTTCAACATATCTCATAAAGTCTAGAACCACAAACCATATCTGTATACACACTGAAGTATGCAAAATAGGATCCTTGCAAATTATTGCCAGTTTCAAGTATATTTTCCAAGATAGTAAGTATAGGTTTTAATGCTAAAATAATTTACTTGTGACTTCAAAAAGGAGTCTAGGCTGTAAAATAAAGCATCCATGCCGAGGAAAAAGCTGTTGATGCCAATGTCAGAGCTATAGTCAAGAGCATTTGGGATTTGGGAATTCAGAGCTACCTTAATTAAGGACAAAATTAACCAACTCAAATCCTAATATTTCCCACTAGAAACTTACATTTCAGAACTGAGGGACACTAATTTGTTTTAAATAAAGAGAAATGACATTAACACAAAATAGCTCCAAGGTTGCCTAACATCTACTCCACCTTGATCCCTTTGCTTTTACATAAGCAAACTTAGTGAGGTAGACGCATCAGAGCACAGAGCCTTCCCAGAGTCTAACACAGCCTTCAAGGGACCTGCTCAGCTCTGGCCCACAGCTCACATCCTCGTGTGACATGGTCTGTTCCCAGTAGACAGATGGAGCTGTCATCAGGCAGAGGGTGTCTTCATACACCAGGAGGTTACTAGACAGTGATAGGCAAAGCTGTCTCACACAGAAAACATATAGAGTAACTGCAGAAATATGTTGTTTATCCAGTGTGGAGTTTTCTTATGGCTTTATATTCACACCTTGTGGGAAGCCCCAAAAGCAGGGCCTGGTATGACCAATGTGACCATTCTAGAACACTACCTGGAAATGTCGTGCCTCCCACTGGCTCTCTGTGACAATCACTGTCTCACTGTAGATTTTTCCTAAGGGCTCTGATGTTACCTGTGGCTCTTCTCTCACAGTTGGAAATTCACACCATTGATAGCAGTGATTGGCAGCAAAATGTGGGAATGCCAGTGGGCCATTGTTGCGTGCCCACCGCTAGGTTTGTTTGTAGGGTGGGTACTCGCTCTGGATCAGTAGGTGAGTCACTTCCTAATAACCCCACAACTGTCAGACTGACCCCCAGTTTTTGTCATTATTAACCTCTTCGTGGCCTGTTCATCTTCCCTCCCATAGCTGAAATGTTTTCTCCGTTGCTTTCCCTCCTGCCGGCATGAAGCTCCAGCCTGGTACTTCACCTCTACACAGTGTTTTCATTGCTGTGTCTTTAACTTCTGTTTATTATCCATACACATCAGCATGCATCCCTGACTGTCTATGAAATCCAAGTCATGGGCCTCTTCAGCAAATATTAAAGAGGCTTGGTTGCCTTTCATGCAGAACTATGCTCATCCAAGACTAAGAAATCACTGTTAACCTCCAAGGCAATTGTGACTGCTTTTCCCTGAAGTTTATGCGCTTGCTTTGATGCACTGATTCTTTTTCTCTAGCCAGTGATGAAAAATCAATTGTCCATGTGGAATCTAAACCAGTCTTCAACTCACTTACTTTCTGCTGGAGTAGTCTTGCCACTAAATTGCTTTGAATATGCATACTACAGAGTGAGACTAGAAATATTGAACAGCGGGTAATGGTATGGCCCCGACCACCAGGTCCCACTCCTCGCCCCCTGCAGATGGGCCTCGCAGGCAACTTGAGTTAAGATGTGTCCATTCCTTTCTTAGATTCAGGGAATAAAATTTCTTGGGTCCTAGTGAAACATCTTAACTCCATGTGTGGAGTGGAAACCTTGGGCTAGATCCTCATTTAACACTCTTCTTAAAACCTTTTATGTGCTACGTTAGTTGCTTTACAATCTGAATTTCAAATCCCACAGAAGCACTTACGTTCGGTTGCAGCAGCAGTCACTGATTTGGGGAACAGACAAGTTAGCGGGTGGAGAGTGATGGCGCACGCGCCTCGGACTTTGTGATTCATGTGTTCTGTGTGGTTAACACTGATTTGGTTGTATATGGGTTGTCACTTGAACATGTGTGACTATTCTGCTCTAAACCAGGGCAGCAGGGCTAAGTTTGGCACAGCCTGGGTTATTTTGCTTTATGGTGTCATTGCTTTAATCAAACAGCCGTCATTGGGATTATATTTCATCTTGTGACAGACAGCGTGTCCTCTTGGTGTTCTGCAGCTAGAAGGGCATGAGAGAAGAAGATATCAAGTGTTAAGGATACACAGGGCCTGAAGCTACTCATACAGCCAGGCCATCAGATGAAATTCTCCGATTACCTGAATCCTCACTGCTGTTGGGTCCCTCAATCCTAAACCTTAGTGAGAACCCCATAAACATCTTTGCATCTTAAAATATAGAGAACGAAAGCTGTATCATAAATTGCAGAGAATAAACACAGCCTATGGCATCCCAGCTGCCATATTGGCTTCAGCAGCACACTTTGTTTTTTGATTATAGTCACACACAGTGTAACATAGTATTTTGGTAAGCAGTGGACCATGTCTACAGTGCTGACCCAATGAGATCCTAACTGATCACAGGTGTGCTGAGGTACTCTGAAGCAATCTAAACAGGTCTGCTTTGCTGTTGATGTATGAAAGCAGCACAGTTGCATATCATACCTGATGGGATACGGATAATAAAAGCCGTCACAGGTTTGTGTAATTTTCTATGCCTTCATCAGTGTCTTAGAGTTATATGAAAACCAAAAGCCCGTTGTAACACAGTAGGCTGTGCTCCACGGCAGCAGCTTCATGTGCTCATTTGTTGAAGCTTTCAAGAGCATCCTGAGGCCACACACAATGGCAACGTAGACATCTGATGGGTGTAAGTCCACTCAAAGATGTCTACTCAACAGCGTCACCCAATGACACGTTTGTCAGGACGTGTCCCTGTTGTCATGGACAGCGTGGCTGCAAACTGTCGAGTATGCCCACTGCCAATTTAGATGTAATCATTAAGGCTGTTATCACCTTGGAAGGTTATTTGGACATGTTGATAACCTGCAAAGACATTTTCAATCTGTCACTAGACCACAGACAAAAACACTTTTTATCTCAGAGTATGACAGCCAACCCAAACAGAACTCCTTATGGTCCGTTTTCCATAAAGGACTTGGAAGGGACATTTTAAAAATCTCCCCGTTCCCCAAGTTATTGGCAAAACAAACCCAAAATCTGAGGTACTTAGACGTGAAATAAAGTCACACAGTTAAGAGGCAGGTGTGTATCAGAATCCAGATCTCTGCTCCCCTCCCCCACCCGCAGTGTGCTTTCTGTAGTTATGGTTGTAGATTCTGCTAAGATCACAGACAGTCAGGTGTTGAAAAGAGAGTTGTTAGTGGCTCCATTTATTCTCTTACCTTCTCCCCCACAAAATTGGAAACACTTGCAATATTCTGCTAATGGAGACTTTCTTGTGCAAACACAGGGCAGTTATGGATGTTGGAGAGCAAAGCAGTTCCAGGTAAACAGAGCTTTAGAGTCCGGGTTGGTGTGTAACACAGGTGCTTGGGCCGCCCGCATGTTTGGAGATATAATTAAGTGATAGTTATAGTCCAGTGTGGGGGGCATGTAGTTTTGTGGTAACATGTCGTACACTATTCTACCAGAATTTGGAATTTTTCCATGAAGATGTACGAAAATCTGATGTTGAATGTGAAAATGGCCCACAAGTGGAACCTCAAAAGGTGAGTTTGCCATGTATGAGCTCCAGCTGGTGCCGTGCAGTTTAGTTACATCCTTGTGTAGAGCCTTTTCGGATTAATGTGTGTGGTCTCCTTTCTCCACTTTGCCTCTCAGGTTGCTACAGGGGCTCTGAGACCTAGTGGCCCTCCCAAGTGCGAAAGAGCAATGGTGAATAGTATGTCTGGCCCAGCGAGAACAGCAGAATGTAGAGCTGACATCTTCTCGGAGGAAAATCCCACACCTGATAAGAATTTATTCCGAGACAGTAGGAATTATTCCCAGAAAAATGTGCCTAAGGTCAATTTTAATTTTACTGGCATGAACTCATTAGAAGGTGAAATCAATAAAGGGCCTAAGGTTTCTGAACTTCAGTGTGCTATTCCTGACACTGAGAAACAGAAGTTGAATTATGGAAAGACAAAAGAGATAGGCCAACAAGGACAAGAAAATACAGATAATAGTCACATTCTTCCCCCAACTCAGTCAGCAGAATCAAGTATTCATGATGTCAAAACACAAGATCAAGATGTCCTCATGACAGATTACGGCCAAGTTGTCCTGAGATCCAAGGTGGGTAGGCACGCTAACATGAACACTAATGAGGATGGAGAATCAACTCCGAGTCCTCCCAGTGAGGAACACACAGCTCCTGATAACATCGCCTTTATGATTACCAAAACTGCTGTACAGGTTCTGTCCAGCGGGGAGGTCCATGACATAGTGAGCCAAAAGGGACAAGAGGTACAGACAGTCAATATTGATGCAAGAAAACAGACAGCCACTCAGCAAGAAGGGGTTGACAGTGAAGAGCCAGTCGTGTGTCTAGACAAGAAGCCAGTTATCATCATTTTTGATGAGCCCATGGACATCCGATCTGCATATAAGAGACTTTCAACCATCTTTGAGGAATGTGATGAGGAATTGGAGAGAATGATGACAGAGGAAAAGATAGAGGAGGAAGAAGAGGATGAAAATGGAGAGACTGGAGTCCAGACCTCTTCCCAAATTTCCATTAAGCAGATTGACTCGGGAAGTGGTAGGATGGGACAAAAGGCACCGTCACAGCTCCACTCGCTGTCAGCAGAGTCACAGACTCCAGGAGGAAGACAGGAAGTTCATAAAGCTGAGCAGAGAAAGCTTAGCTCAGCAGATTCTCCAAACCTGGGAAACAAGTGTGACATGGCTGATGACCAGTTTGAAAGCCCCAAGAAAAAGTTTAAGTTCAAATTCCCCAAAAAGCAGCTTGCTGCTCTTACTCAGGCAATCCGCACAGGAACCAAAACAGGAAAGAAAACCCTGCAGGTGGTGGTCTATGAGGAAGAAGAAGAAGATGGTACTTTGAAACAGCACAAAGAGGCCAAGCGGTTTGAAATCACCAGGTCCCAGCCTGAAGATGCCTTCAAAACCGTGGCTAGGAGGCAAGAGCAGCTCAGCCTTGAGGGCACAGCTCCACCTTCAAGGACTGATGAAATTAGGAAAAATACTTACAGAACACTGGACAGCCTGGAACAGACCATAAAGCAACTTGAAAATACAATCAGTGAAATGAGCCCCAGGGCCCTAGTTGATATCCCATGTTCTTCCAGCAGAGATTGTGGTGCAGGTTTGCCCCGCATAGTTCAAGAGGTCTCTCCTGGGTCCTTGCTAGTTCTGGATGACGTACCCCCTGCCCCAGAGCCCCCCACGTCCATATCTTCAGCTTCACGTAAGGTATCTTGGTCTGTAGAAAATGGAAAGAGCCAGCTGCTTCTTAATTCTGTCATAATCACAGTAGCAAAAGGCGTCTTGTGATTTAATCGCTTCCCTTCAGGTGGCTCGCGGTTTTTTGTCTATTTGTCAACGTGCCCATCTCTCCTCCCTTCTCCGTCGCCTTCCGAAAACAATGGCAACTAGGTGTCTAACAGCTAATCAATTCTGTTTGTGCCTTTGTTGCTGATTGGTGTTGGGTCAGTATCAGGAAGCTGGGCCAGCCGTGTGCTGTTGGTACTCACATTAAAATCCAGTTGATCTGTAGTGAGCTGTTGATTCTGTTTGATTCTTCTCATTAACCCAGTCGGTGTCTCCTGGGTCTGTCCTGCATGTAGGGCCCTAGCTTCTCACTAGCCCTTCTCTGCGCACAGTGGGGCAGTCTCTGGAGCAATCCACTCACCTTCTTCTTTTTGTCTCCTCTGTCGCTGGTTCTTCCCACAGGGCTCCAGCACCGCCCCGCAGACAAGCCGGATGCCAGTCCCCATGAGTTCTAAGAACAGACCCGGAAGCCTGGATAAGCCTGGCAAGCAATCCAAGCTGCAGGATCCTCGCCAATACCGGCAGGTAGTTTTACCCTAAACCCCATTTTGGATGGACACTGTTATAATTAAGAAGGCAGTTGCCGACTTAGTTTATACCAAATACTGTGTTTTCTTTGTGAGATACTGTTTACATAGACATCCTGGATCTTGGGGCATGAAGAAAGTCTAAAAGAAACCTGTGTTAAACTTTTCACCATACTTTTGCATGCTGACAATAAAACATCTTTTACTTTGTGAGTTCAGATTTTTAACTGTTAACACATGGTGCCAGGCCAGTGGCGGTTTCCTTGGTGAATGTAGTGTTTCATCAAACCTCTTGAAAAACAGAGACAAACCAACCTGTCGCTGAACTGCTCTTAAGTCATTACTACTAACGTCTGTGTTGACTGCACTGTGTTAAATCACACTAACTCTCCCGTATTAAAAGCAAATTAACATTCTCCACTCCAATAACAATCCCCATGCATGGCCGGCTGGCACTGGGGATGGCTGTGGAATGAGAGCTGCGTGGGCTTCCTCTCCGTCATTTCTGTAACTCCTTTGCTACATGCATGGGGTGGTTTCAGCCGGTCCAGATAAGCACAAAACTTCGCTCAGGCCTCAGACTGTATGTTGTTTTTCGTTTACTGAATGAGTCTCAGAAGGGCTGTGTTGCCAGGCCCTGTGGTTTAATCGTGTTGCCAGCTTTCTGACAGAGTGTCTCCCGCCATCTTTGTTTGCAGGCTAATGGAAGTGCTAAGAAAGCTGGTGGGGACTGTAAGCCTACTTCCCCCTCCTTACCTGCTTCTAAGATTCCAGCCCTTTCTCCCAGCTCTGGGAAAAGCAGTTCTCTACCCTCTGCTAGTGGTGACAGCTCTAACCTCCCCAATGTGCCTGCTACTAAACCATCGGTTGCTTCTACCCCTCTCAGCCCCCAAGCAGGACGGTCCTCTCACTCTGCCTCCCTCATCCCTTCTGTCTCTAATGGCTCCTTAAAGTTTCAGAGCCCCCCTCACGCAGGTAAAGGCCATCACCTTTCATTCGCACCGCAGACTCAAAATGGCCGAGCTGCTCCTACTTCCTCTTCTTCTTCATCCCCTCCTTCCCCTGCCTCTCCTACCTCCCTGAATCAAGGTGCCAGGGGCATCAGGACCATCCATACTCCTAGCCTCACCAGCTACAAAGCACAGAACGGAAGTTCAAGCAAAGCCACCCCATCCACAGCAAAGGAAAATTGTTAAAGGCCAGATCCTATTAGGTGCAAGGCGGAATTACATTCTTGTTTTTAATTTTTAGCAGTCTGGAACAACTGTTTTCACAAGAGAATGTACCATATTGCTGTACTGTTCAAGGCTTCATGCAAAGTATGTGCAAAATACTGAGTTTATAGATTGCAGTAAAGCTTGTTTTTTTTCTACGCTGTTGCTGGTGTAATTACATAGTGTTTACTGTTTAGATTCAATGCCTATTAAATGAAGAAAGCACGTGCTATAAAAAGAGAGCATAGCGTGAGAGTGAAGAGATGCGTGACACAAGCCGACTGGACCGTGCATGGAAAACATGTATGATTCTGGAATTTTAGTATGTTTTGTATAAAAATATTTTTCATTACGGAGACTAGAGGTAAACAGAGAGATACACTAGCGTGACTATATAAATTGTAAAGCATATATTATAATATTTTCTTTTATTTTAGTGTTATTTAGCTTTATTACAGATTTCTATTTTTGTCAAAACTTCATGGTTCCTTTCAAGATCTTTTTGCCAAAACATTTTGATACTACAGCATTGTACATTTGAAAATCGTATGCTAGACTCAGCCAATGAGCTTCTACAGCCCGTAGAAAGAAATTCAGCAAAGCTCTTGATAATTTGCTAGTCCAAGAAAGCTGCTTTTCCTTTTCTTTGCTTTCTTTTTATTTTCTTCTTCTTTTTTTTAAAAGACAAAACATACTAGTATTCGGTAGCTATTTTCTTTGCAGTATCTAACCCTTTTTATGTTTTCTTAAACCTGGTAACCCACACTATTGCATTGTGCATTTTAAAATATACACTTCTGTACACTGCAGAACTTTTGTAAATATACAGATATAAACAGACATCAAAATACTGTGTGTGATGGCACATAGAGTAGTATTCCCACACCAAAGTTAATTTTTATGCATGCTTGGAGAGCCTACACTGGGATGGGCAGAAGTGGGACCATCCATACATTTTTAAAAAGCAACAAGTTTGCACAGTTAGAGTGGTTTTGTAAATAACTGTATTTGTATAACACAGCCATGTATCATACAGAACTGTAAGCAGAGACTTCAGGGGCTGCATGCTTATTAGTTTTTGTACCTTGTCACTATAACTAACTACTCCTGGTCAATGAACATGTAACTATTGCCACAGAGTTTCTGCTTTGAAGGCATTCTGAGTAATGTGTAAGCACACCCACTTCCACAGTGTTGCCTCTCCGAAAGCTCAGGGTAGCTAAGGATGAGCTCCTAATAAACTGATTGACAACGTGCTCGTGTGAACTTAATTTCCTGACTGACTCTTCTCTGGGGCACTTGGGGCTAACAAAAAATAAACCTGCACACAAGCTTGCATACTCATTCATCAAAGGGCTTGTTGCTGCTTCCTTCATTTTCTTTTTTTTTTTTTAATTTCTAGTAAAAGTAAAAAGAAAATGTCTTTATCACTGGGTATGGGGGTGGGTTTTTTGGTTTGTTTTTGTTTTGTTTTAGTGCCCAATTTTAAATTTTTTAGATTATTATTTATGTATTTTGATATTTTGTTTGGTTGCATGTCTGTGTTCCACATTCATTCCTGGTGCCTATGGAGATCAGAAGAGTGTGTCAGATCCCCTCGAACTGGAGTTACATACCTTTGTGAGCCTCCATGTGGGTGCTAGAAATCAAACCTCGGGCCTCTGGAAGAGAGCCCAGTACTCTCAACCACTAAGCCTTCTCTCTAGCCCAGAATTCTCCATTAATACGTGAGTGCATGTGCACACAAGACCACACACACACACACACACACACACACACACACACACACACGGTCTATAGGAAATGTACATACAATACAGCATATGATTTCATTTACAAAGAATAGGAAGAAGACTCAGGAGAGGACTCAGTCAGCAAGCCTGAGTTTGATCCACAAAACAGCCTAGCATAGTGGGATGCCCTTGTGTTCCATCACTGGGGTGAGACAGGCAGATCCTTAGAGACTGCCTCCTAGCCAGTCTAGCCTAACCAGTGAGTACAGGACAGTGAGATACTCTGAGGAACAGCATCTAAAATTGACCTCTGGCTGGTGCATGCATGTGTGCACAGACAGACAGACACACACACACACACACACACACACACAAACTGGCAGAAAGTTATTAATAATAAAAACTCCCAGATTCTGCACACAGCCTTAGGAACCTGATCATCATCATTTTTCACATCCAAAAATATTTAACTTGGTGGGTAGCTGTAGAGAGCTGATAGTGTCACATTTCCCAACACCTGGCTACGTGTTCTCAAGCTTCAGGCTTCCCCAGTATCATGCTTTCACCAGAAACACTTTGAGGCCTCTACTGACGTGACAGCCACAAGTTCAGCAGCACCTCGGAAGTATCTCATTATACATGGTTTCAGCGTTCCCATCAGGTCCAGTAATCCCTTCAACAAGAGTTCATAGGCGACGTCAGCCACTAAAATCAAAATTGCTCTGTGTGCTAATTCCTGCTGCTGTGCTTAGCCCTGCTCACGGCCATGCTGGAAACTGCATACGTATCTAACCAGCAGCCTGGCGCTCAGCTCAGTTTGACATCAGACTTGCCAGAGTTCCGACAGAGTCCCGCAGCTCATGGTTCCTTTGAGCCAGGGAAGGAAGTCAGAAGCAGAGATCCTGGGCAGAGACTCTCAAGGCTGATCCAAATCTAGCTGTTTGCTTGCCTGCCTCCTGCAAACGTCAGAGGGAAGCTGCTTCTTCCTGTGACAAACAGAGCCCAGGCTGCCCATAGCCATACTTAGCAGGAAGGCAACAGGAAGAAATGTGTTGCCTCAGCACTTGTTTCTAAGTTTGACATCATTTCTTTGAGACCCAGTTTTACACTGCCGATTTTGCCTAGTTAAGGTCCCCATCCTCTTTTGGTTGCTTCCTCATCTCACAGATCGAAAACCCAACACAGCTTTCAGCTGCCAACTACAATCAAACCTAAGGTTTGCACCTAACCCAAGGTTAGCACCAAAAAACCACTAAATGGTTTCTACTTCACGTAAGTCTTCTTTAAACCAGCCAGTCCAGCTGAAGGCCCAGGAGCATGCACGAGACCTTAAAAAGGTGTGGCCTTCCAGATCCTCTTGTTCTGCTCCCATCCACCATCACCCCGCCCCACCACCATGAGACACAAATATCCTTAAGTAATAAATTGTTTCTCTTTCCTATATTTTGTGTTTACGTTTCTGTTGCATTGCACAGGCCTGTACGCCAAAACCTAAGAGGGGCTCCTAGACACTAGCTGTTTGGTTTAAGGACATTCCAGTACAAAGATCCCGACGTCAAATTAGAAGCCACACAATGAGGATCACAAGGACAACTTGGATATTTTAACATCGAAAGAGGGTAGTGGCGAGAACACCTTTCTCGTTTCTCGTGTTAAGTTGTTAACAGATACTTGCTTTAAGGATCTTTTATGGCTGTCATTAATAACTCTTTGCAACCTGACAGATCCTTAGAAACAAGCTTCATGGAGCCGTGAGATGGTTCACCTGGTAAAGGCGCCATGAAAGCCTGATGCCCTGCATTCGATACCCAGTACAGATGTAAAGGTAGAAGGAGCAAACTGAACCACAGAAATTGTCCCCTGACATCTACCATGTGCTACATGGCCTTTTCACACTCGCTAAACTATCCTTGGCTCCACTGAACCAGTGCCGGGACCAGCCGGGCAGAGTCGAACGGTTCTTGAGTTGGGAGTGAGGATTAAAATTAATAAAATAAACACACAGCACACAGGAAACTTTTTAAAGGTCCAGACTCGACAGCCATGGCAAAAGGCAGGCAGCTGCAGCAAGCAGTGCCAGCAGCAAGCCTCAAGTCTCTGCCTCCAACTCTGTCTCTAGCCTTCTTCTCTAGCTCCGCCCCTCTTTCCTGTCCTCCGGCTCCTCCCATAGCACAACATTGTATCTAGTTGCTTATTTGTGTCCTGTTTACACAAGAGTTGAGACAGGATGCTTGGGCATCATCTTCAGCCTTCTTCTGCAGTAACTGTCGGCCTGTCTTTTTATTGTAGAGTTTCTGAGCCAGAGTAGAAACATATCAGAACAATGGTTAATTTCCATGAGGAGCCTGAGGAAGAGGTGTGACCCTCACAAGCTATCCCACCTGCTGTCACAAACAAAAGGAGATGGACTTGCAAGTTCTTCTCTGCCATTAGTAAAGGCCTGCTAAAAGCCATAAATATCAAAGCAGGCCACTGGAGTCACGGCTCCCGACAACCAGTCTTGGGGCTCTGGGGGTGGACACTGGGGCCTGAGACCTTGCTGCTGTTCCCCAGTTGTACAAAACTGAGCGCAGCTTGGCTTTCCCATTTGTTAATATGGTGCAGTGACAGGTCTTAGCCCTTAGGACTGTGGGATTAAACACGATCCATACAAAATCAAGACGGCCTAACACATACAGAGCCCTCAAAAAAGTTATGTTTATTGTCGGCACAATTTTATTGACAAGCAGGGCATTGCGTGGTCCCTTTAAAGTTTCCTAGTCGTGGGGCGGGGTGAATCCTAGAGCGAACAAGCCACTGATTGGGCAGGCACGGGAATCCGAGTCCCAACAGATGCTGCCAAGGTCTTTCAGGGTCTCAGGGAGCCAGTGCTGTTTGGCCCGGACAGTGCAGAACCTTAACATAATCTCCCGGCAGCAAAGGAGCTCTTGACCGGTACACTGCCCATGACTAGAATGCTTGCACAGGCGTGGAGTACTCTGCAAGAATCCTGGCTGCAAGAATGTAGTTCTACAAAGTTTCACTATGGGCCAGGGCAGGAGTTCTCAGCTCAGTAGCTCTGCACCCCCAGTGCTGCCCATTCTGGAGTGCCAGAGGCAAGCCTTCAGAGGAGGGGCACTGGGACATGAAGCAGGTTATGTCCTACTTTCAACCAGTTTTCTAGGCAAACAGCCCTCCTCTTGGCTGTCCTTGTAATGCTAACCAACTTCTCAGTGCTCCGTAAATGCTAATACATTGGCGCCAACAAGCAGCCTTTGGAAGGACAGAGAAGCGGGAGAAACTGTATCAGGCAATAGCACAAAAGCCAGTGTCTGCACGAGTACCAAGAGCAGCATCCGGGAGAAGACCGCTATCCGGGCCCACCAGCCAGCAGAGTAGACAGCAGGCATGTCCAAGCTGCTGGCTTTGCGGAATGACATGCTCATCCACAGACTGGATACTTGAGAGCTGTGCAGAGTTACAGATAAATAAACCTCATTGTTTTGAGTGAGTTCACAGTAACGAACTGGACCACACACTCTCTGGCCCTGCCCCAAGTCTAATCCGTGCCGCCCAGCTCAGAAGCAGAGGCTCACCCACAGCCCAAATCAGGAAGATTAACCTGTGTATTCTGCCCCCAAAAGGTAGAGACACTTACGAGGCATACCTTAAATTCACACAAAATGCTTACTGCTTAAGTGCCTGAGATTTCCAGGGATTCCTTAGGCCCCAAGACTGTGAACACAGCAGCAGTAATGGCAGGCTGTTGGCTATCATGAGCCAGGCATGATGCTGCTACCGGGGTTTGACTTCCACAGTCTTCCCATCATCAGCCATGGAGGCCTCCACTGCTGTGCTTCTCAGGCTCACTGTACACAGGCAGAAGCTGGTCAGGGGCTGGCTGAGTGGGGAGGAGCTTGGTCATTTTATATGGGCTGGGGCTGCTCTCATGAGGCCTCTTCGGAGGATAGTGCTGTAGAAGGTGTTTTCCATCCCTGGCTCAAGCAAGCACACTGCAGAAAGGCAGCCTGGTGGTACTTATTAGGACTCAGGTTCTGGCATCTTTTAGATCAGAAGAAGTGCAGGTGGCAAGACTCTGCTCACCACACTGACAGTGTCGCCAGCTGTTGTTAAGATGGAACTGCAACCGGGGACAAATCTGGCCTCACATTCCAACTCCTCTCCCCAAAGCCCAGTGCTGGCATCTAAAACTCCCAAGATGCTGGGCGGGGACCTCTTGCCACCACTGGTCGTACCTGCTGTAGCCAACATCTCCTTGCCCTATCCAGCGTGGGATCCCTCTGGTTGGTGATATTCATCTGGTAAGTCACTGTCAGCAAACACCTCCTGAAAGGGACATTGGGGTCTTGGCTCTGAAACATGTCAGCTAAAAGTTTGTGAAGGGGCATTACAGCCTGCCCCGATAGTCTTTGAAATGAGAGAAGGAACTTTGATTCTGTCATTGTGTAAGTTTCCTCTTTAAAGTTTTGTATGATGTGAAATCCTTAGAGGTGTATCTACCCATTCACCAGTGAAGTATAGTCCCTGGCTGTGATGTC